TACATTTAAGATGTCTTAGTAATAGGTTACTTATATTCTATGTTCTCGATATAACCATGTTCTCCAAAAGATACGGAAACTAAATTCTGAAATTATATGAGGATATAAAATGTTCAAATTTTCCATTCTAACAGTAACATAATCTCCACATTTTCACAAGGCATAAAATACTTCAGTTGTCATCTCTGTTAAGTGGAGTTGTTTTATTCCATGTTGAACTTGGAATTCTGGGAATCAGACCGAATGACACAAATATACTGCAATCTGTAGTCTGCTTCTTCTGCACGAGCATTTAAATGTTTCCTTATAGGATTAAGCATGATTTTAGGTACAGAACATAACAAATGATAGCTCAGTTTTTTTTTTTTTAATCTGTAGTGGTGACATTTTAAGAAATGAAAACGGGAACAGTGTTGGATTTGGTTTCTCCCTTTCAGCTACATCTGCACAAACCTGACCAAACAAAAATTAGTAAACAGTTACTAGTACTTATTTTACAAACTGAAAATATTTAACACAGAACCCTTTAAAAAAACATTCTACAAACAACCTTATAAAAAACAAAAGTTATATCTGTTCACAGTATGTGTATTTTGTAAACAGTAATTCACTCTAAAATTTTGAAAGTAAAAACTGGCAATTTCCTAACATTATAAAGATGATCTCTGACTTCTGGCTAACTAATGAAAGAGAAGAAAAGGCAACACTTGCATTCCTTTAGGATAGTTAAGAATTTTTAAATGATTTTTTTTTTCCTTTGGACATGTTTTTAAGGTGGTACAATGTCAAATTTTGGATGTCTTTCTATCCAAACCAATCTTTTTCAAGCAATTCTGAATTGAAATGTATTCCAGAAAAAGCCATGCTCCTTTTTGAGAAAATAGTAGGATCAAACAAATCCCAGGGTATCTTACAATACCCACCCTTCCACAACAACGAACCAAACAGGGTTTCTTCTTGTGTGTGGTCTTCAATTATTCATAACATATTCACATTTTCCCAAAATGTTATGTTGGAAGGGAAAAATTAAGATGAGTATACCATAAATATCCAAAAAGTTTTGGAATCAAATTGAGGGCAGAATATTTGAAAAATGTTTTATGAAAATCATTATTTACTATTGTTTTCTATGCTCAATTACAAAAATACTAATGCTAAATCTAACAGTTAACTTGTCCATGTTTCAATGAAAATTGTATTACCACCTAGAAATCTTCTGATCTCATATAATGGAATGCTTAGGAGAAATAATAAGTTCAGAAATTGAAAGTTACCCCTTTTTAAAATGGAATAATTATGAAGGGAAGTACATTTTAAATGTGTGAGGAACTTCAATACATTTAAATAAACCATTCAACCAGGTAGACAAACTATTTTTGACTTAAGGACAGCATAAGGTCTATGTTGTTAGTTATTAGGGCTTTTTAAAAATTCTGATTGGCTACTGCAAAGGCAATCTCAGAAGATTATATGTAATACAAATTAATTTCCTTATCAATTAAATATTAATTTCCCCCATTCACATCTCGTAGTTATAGCAATCAAAAACTACTATATTACTGCTGCTTTGTGTTTGGTTAATATTCAATCAGTTATAGCTTCTTTATTTAAGAGATTTTGAATTTATAGTTTCTATGGTTCTTCAGCTAGGCACTTGCACATAAAAAAAATTCAGAAGTTTTCTCTCTTAAAACACGGCTTTTAATTTCCATGAAAATGCTGCAGTTATGTCTTGTATAGGTAAATTCTATTACTTAGACATTTATAATCCAAAATATTAACACTCTTAATGTAGGGAGAAACAAGCACTACTTATGGTTAAAAACAACAGAAACCTACCAGAACTCAGTATCATGATCATAAGAATTTGGATATATTCTAGATCAAATCACATCCTCTGGAATTTTACCATACATGATAAATAAAGCCTGACATATCAATCAACTGAATGTTCTTCTTAATCCTCCATACAGACATAAAAAATAGCTCACTGTATTATAACTGGCATGAATATGATTGCGTAATAGTTAAGACAAAAGCTCAAATTGAAAAGAAATAAAAATCTCACAACTCTATTGAAATAAGATGTTTAAATATTAATAGCCCTGGTATGTAGTCCATGAAGACAAAAATAGAGCAAATTTAAAGCAAGGGCTTTCCAATGATATTCTGAGGTCATATCTAAAAGATGCATTTACAGTAAGTTTAGAAAATCATTTGCTTCTGTGAAAAACTTCCTTCTGGATATAAAAAGATGGATGGGCAGGGTACCATGGAATTTCAGTTCAGCGGGAAATACCAGTTTAAAGTAAATGCTTTGAAAAAGTAGTTTATCCAGACAATGAATGAATGCTTACATGAGTCAGTGAAGCTCACACATCAGTGTAGTGTTGGTTTGCTGAACACATGCTGGTTGGTACAACCGGGTCCGTTTGGTAGCCATCAAATAAAAAGACACTATGACTACTCATAATGAGGGAGGAATATAATATCTAGTGGCCCTTTTGCAGGAGGCTTTCCCAAGTTTTCACTGAAACTGGAGCTACTTCTCGAGTAGATTTGAATCTTTCAGCTGATAGTCTTAGATCAACCCAAGCTAGATCTAGATATATCCTACCCTTCAGGAAAACTGTTTAATCTGCACATTCTGGAATGAGACTCAATACACAATGACTCACTGAACTCCCCCTATGTACCTAGTCTGTGTAATGAGCTAATGATCTCACATTTGACTTTTGAGATGCTTAACTTTAGATAAGAAATCTTAAAAGGCATTTTATAAAAGATGCAAATTTTTAAATGGTTCAAAACAGAAAACATTAAAAATTACTTTAGCGTCAACAGAAAAAAAATGTCTTATCAGATTATGTGCCTGAGCAGAAAAATTTGAGATAACATTTTCTGCATTTTGCATGTTAGGAAGTACTTTAATTTCAAAATACCATAAAACTGATTTCGAATTCTTTTTGGAAGAAAACAGTCCCTAGTCTCCTTTACTAATCCACATCTAATTATTCAAAGACAGAAAGGACTGTAATGTTCTTTACACATGGACAATATGAAGATAGTTAAGAATTACAGGACTAATAATTTCCAGCAAGAATAGAAGTTGCATAAAGTTGTAACGGCATGACTTTTACCACAGTTTCTGAGAGTGCAAAAGTACTAGATGTCTAAATGCAGATCTTCAGATCCACGAGCCGTGAGAGTAATGCTGGTATGGAAAATGAGGCTGAAACTTCCGCCCTTAGGTTTTTCCATGAATGGCTGCTTCTAAGTCTCAGCTGCAGGAACAGAGCACCTCTATCGCTTAAGCACATAAGCACACAATTATGCAGATGCCCAGGGCCACAATCTCAAATTCAGGCTTCTACGGGTTCAATACATTGATGACTTCAACTGTATATGGAGATTAATCCATGCAGTACATAATGTACAAGCTCTAACATCAAAATGCTAGCTAAGTCTTCTAAGAATATTTTTATACTAAATATCATTTAGGAGGGCACTCACAAGAGAAAGGCAGTCATAAAGACCACCAGAATCTCCATTTCTCACAAGGGAAGCTTGATCTGAAATTGGCTTACAAGTGAACTGGCTTATAAGAGATGTGAAAACGTATCCAAATGTGCAGTACTATTAGACAAGACACGGTGGGGCATAATCGTAGTTCAGATTATTTAGAATGTTCTAAGCAATGACTAGGTCTTAGCTGAGGAAAGAGGGATTTCCCAATTATTTCCCCAGTCAGGAAGGGCTGCAGGGAACACCTCTAGTCTCCCCTCCCCCAGGGAGATGAGCTACCATGACCGGACAAAGCAGGACTCCTACGAGATTGCTTTTCACACCTGAGCATGGTCCTGGCATTGACAGACAATGCACATTTACCAGGTCTCCAGTGCCACAAACAACTGGGTATGTGACAAAGGGCATCTTCTCTCTCCACCCCTCCTTTTCCTCTCCCTGTGTCGAGGCCACCTCTATATGCCCAGGTTGGGGATGTGGGGGTGGGTGGGAGATAATAACTGGATTTGCATAGTGGGTCTGGCTGTCTTCCATTTAGTGGGGAAGGGCAAGGAAGCTGTTTTGGCCTGAGACCTGAACCACATACTTTTAAGCACACAGCAGGTTATCAGGAGTCTGCCCAGACTAACAGTGTTCCTCTGGTTCCCATTAACCTAGCGGCCACTGTGTAGGGAACTCTGTAGGCAGGGGAGAGCCGAGCAGCTCTCTGAACCTTTTTCATGCAGGAAAAGCACTGCAGTCTTGGACAAGGTGCAACGACTCAAGAGCCCAGTGATATTCACTGTTAGCTGAACAAATGAGTCGCTATATAGGCTGGAAAGGGCACTGGCTCCACATGGCCACAGCTGCTATGCATAATGCATATATACTGACGACTGAGATCAAACAATGTCTGCTGGCCTTTCTTCTCCCATTCTCAGTGTGGTATAGTTCAGACCAAAACACTTAGACCGTAGCCAACACTTGCTCTCATAAGGAGATGAAGTACAGGATCCATCGGTTTCAGTGGGGAATGAGGCATGAGTTGGGGGCAGGAGGGGTTTGGTAATGACCAGCTCCAGCAAGGAATGAAGGCAGCCCTGGGCCTGAGTGTCTGGGATGCAAGCTAAGGAAAGGAGACTAAGCAGATAAAGAAGAGCCAACTGTTAGGGATGGCTCTCGTTTGGTATATTTTTCATTGTTGAAAATCCCAAGGAGCTATTACATGATTTTAATATACTGTGTGTGTATATCATTAGTTCTAGTTCATCCCACGTGTCCATATAATAATGAAGCTCAAGAATTTAGCCAAATTCTAGTAATTAAAACGAGGATTCCTAGAGTACTCAAATGGATTTTGCTCGTCACCCTGTGGTTTTTCTCCATGACATAGTTCTTATAAAAGAAACATTAGAAGCTAGGAAAAAAAGGTAAATGAGCCATTATATGTAAATACATCACAGAACTTCAGATGATTAAAAAAAAAAAAAGAAAAAAACAGGCACATTTTGATGTATTCAGATATTTCCATTTTTCAGGTACTTTGCCATAACTATCAAAAGACAAAATATACAGACAACGTGGGGGTAGCGGAAATAGAAAATACACTTTTGAGTTTTTCATTGTGACCACATTCATCCTAGACCTCACCTATGAAGACCAGACATGGGCAGAGGATGCTGTGAAGACACGCGATCACGGGCAGCTCACAAAGAAAATGCTGTACCCTTAATACAGGCATGTCTGCGGACTCAAACGGACTTTGTGACAGTTCATAGAAAACAGCCCTTGAGTAACTGTTCCTATAGGAAGCATTAGCTTTTTAGTTTTATATAAAGTCTGAACTCATGATCATTTCAGAGGAAGAACTTGCCAAAATGCCTGATCAGGAAGAACATTCGCTACGAGGTGTCGAAGGTCATCACTGCCTGGGTGCGGGGGGGCTCCCTGGCACGGTCTTCTCAGGAGGCACTGAAACCACTTAGGGCTGCACACATAGCTAATGCAGCGAGACTGCTCAGTCATCACCTCAAATAGCAACTCACTGGAATTCTATGTTTATCAATAATATTGAATTTGCACACGTTTATAAAACTGACACTGCGTCACATGCCAAAAAACACACAAAAAAACAAAAAAACCCCACATGTTTTAAAAAACTTAGATCTAGAGTCTTAGATTTCAGTTTTAAATATTAGGGCAACCAACTGCAATAAGGGAAGTTAGCATGCAAGCTACAAAGTGAGGGACAGGTTTGTAAAACCTCCCAAAGCAAGAGAACACAATTCTGATTTGGGCTGGTCAGTGTCACGCTCATTTTCAACGTTTGTACCCCTGAGAAAACTGTTTGATAACCATTATACAGTAGGCATGGGAATCAGTATACTTTATCAAACAAAACACTAAGTAGCTGCTGCTACATTAAAACTTCTTTTAATCTTTTGTAAATCCTGTGGCTGGAGGAGAATAATGTTAAAAGTTTCAAAATCTGTGCTTGGTTTTCATCTAGAATGGAGCAAGTGTCAGGCAAATAAACATCGTCTGTTACTTTGACATTTTTCTCCTGTGCCTGTAAATCTGCTTGCAATTCCACAAAGTATCCATGTGAGAAAACCATGAACAGAACAGAACACGTGGTTGTGGGATCTGTTTGGCATGAATGGGACTAGACAGGATTGGCAGAGGAGTGCTTCCCGAAGGTGGGGCACGGGAGAATCATTTGGCTCTAATCACAGATAGCTCCAAAACTTGAGTTGCATGGTCTGAATTTCTGAGTTACTCTACTTGGGCTGTGAGATTATGTTAGAAGCACATTAACACTTTGAGTGTGACTTGTGCCGTGAGGTCCACCTTGCTAGCAATACTTCACAGGATCCCTCCGAGATGCCCAGTGCTGGCACGGCAACGCCAGCAGTGAGAGCGTACTGAGATGGCAGACTGAAGTGATAGAGTGACACCGTTAGTCGTTCGGTTTGTTCTGGAAGAAGTTTGTAAAGGACCACCCTCCTCCATTCGATTTCGGAGAGTCTTCATCTTTAGGAGGGATCAAAAACTGTCGGGAGTTAATGGAGCAGGGACTTCCAAAAGAGACAATTTCACTGTTGCTGTCTGTGGATCTGGGAGAGTCTGGAGATACTAAGGTCCAAGTATTTACATTTGCCTGAGGTCTGTAACCTGCAGTTTTGTCTAAGTCATCGTCTGCAGCTAGGTCTTCTACAGTAGAAGTGACGGGGAGGTGCATTTGTGGCTTATAGCCGGCCCCCCCTACAGGGTCGCTTTCTTGTTCTTCCTCTGTCTTTGCCTGAGGCTGATACATAGACTGGACATCGATGTAAATGACTTGTGAGGTGCCCCCGGCTTCATCCACTCCTGGGTTTGGAATCTCTTCCTCGATGACTGGTGGACAATAGGCCACGACCACATGGTTCTCGGGTTCCGCATCAGAGCTCTCTTCCGGGCGCTCAGCTGTGGGGGAAATCATTTCTGTATCTTCTATTTTAGGAACTGCTGATCGAGTTTCCAGAACCTCAACATTATTTGGGGTGCAAGGATTCATTTCCAATGTTTTGAGAGCGCTGTTTCCCTAGAAATAAATCATGAAACAATGATTAAGAACAGCGCTTTTAAAAGCGGCCACCATGCCCCAAATGCCACAAAAAGGGACATTATTGTATGTATTTTTTCCACGGCTATTTATAAAAATTTGTCTCTACTATTCTGTAGTGCATGCTAGAACGAAGTTATTTTTTTTGCATATCAGTATAGTCCTTGTTATTAATAGCAACGGAAAAAAGAGCATGGTAAAAACAAGTTAAAATTGATAATTTTTAGAAGTTCAGCAGATGTTAAAGCACTGCTCTTTGCTGGATACATTTTACTTTGGATGATATTTGCATATTAAAAGCTTTTCACAAAAGACTGAAAAAAGGAGGCCAGTACTTCAAAGAGAAATGTAAGAAAATAAAGGATTACCTCACAGACACTCTTCTGAAACTGTAAAGCTTTACAATTTTCTGGATTTGGAATGTCAGGGTAGAAGGTTTCTTTAATCCTTTAAATAAAGACGATTAAGTACATTTAATAACTGAGATTATCAATTAGACAACAAATAAGTTAGTAAATCACTGGGTTTTCTTGGACATTTCATTTGATGCTTTAATGAATGTCTGAGATAAAAATGCAAGATCCTTTTCAGTGTGATCATTCATGAAACTTTCTGTACAATGCACTAAGAGGTTCCCATGTGAACATGACATGCAGTATTTCTATTTCTAGAACGACAGTATCTTATGAAAATGGGAAGCAATGAATTGAGATGGTGACTGTGCTCTCAAGGCAAAAGTAAAACAGAGAAACTGTTCCTCCGGTCTAACGTCCACAGTGCAAACCGGATTAAGCAGGGTCCATTACTGTGGGAACATATCTGCATTATGCAGTTCTCTACTGCTCCTGACAGGTTCTGGACTAGTAGGGGAGAAGGCTATTAATGTTGAGCAAAAACTAACTGCAAACAAAAAGGGTATTTGCTCATTGCCATTTCATATTTATAGCTGTTAAAAGTAAGTTTAGTATTTGAAATTTCTGAGGAAAACACAAAACAACTTTGTTAAGTCTGGAGTGCTCTAGATTCTAAACTCTCTCATATTATCTTTTGTATTAAAATCATTTTTAAGGGGTGCCTGGGTGGCTCAGTCAGTTGGGCATCTGACTTTGGCTCAGGTCATGATCTTGCAGGTCGTGGGTTCAAGTCCTACACTGGGCTCTGTGTGGACGGCTTGAAGCCTGGAGCCTGCTTCGGAGTCTGTGTCTACTTCTCTCTCTACACTTCACCCACTCACACACTCTCTCCCTCTCAAAAATAAAGAAACATTAAAAAATTATTTTAATCATTTTTAAAATGTGATTTTTGGTAATAAAAATACAGTTACCAAAACAGGATATTTTATAGTTCAAAACTATTACTATATTAACTTATAAGCCAGGATTATTAAAATACATTCTATTCTTTGTCATGAATGATGGCATTTTTAACGCCAATGAGGGCTGTCTACGCGTGAACACAGCCATCTGTCCCATGCCCAGCCCCGGACAGTGCCTGCCAGTTGACTGTGAGGTACTCTCTCACACTGGGTCCCAGCTCACCACCTCACCTCACCTCCTGCCTCTCCAGCTTCACTCAGATACAGAGTTGCTCTCACTTTCTTCAGATGACCAAGCTCTCCAATGTCTGGGCCCCCACAGGAGCTATTCTCTCTCCCTGGAACATTCTCTCCTGCCCTTAACCTTTGGGATTCCACTCAAATGGAACTCTTGTAGGGAAACCTTTGCTGGCCATCTCTAGTGATGTGTTTCCTGTTATTCCCCCATGGCGCCCAGTGACCCTAGCACCCACTCATACTTAATAAGCATGTATTTACTGGATGATTATGGGTTTAATGTCCACCTTTCCCTACTATGCCAGAAGTCTATAAGGATCACGCTTATTTAGTTCACCGCTATATCACAATTTGCATGGAAGAGGTCATTCATATTTGTTGAATAAATGAGTAAGTGATAGTATTTTCTAAATAGGTCATCAGGACAAATGATCCTAATTATTAATCTTGGATATAGCTATTGCCCTATTTATGCCTGTAAATATTTTTTAGTATATCTGCTGTTACTTTAAACTATTAGTAAATATAGAAGGAAAAAATTTACCTTTTATTTGATTAATTTAAAAACTTTTAGGGGCGCCTGGGTGGCTCATTTGGTTAAGCGCCCGACTTCGGCTCAGGTCATGATCTCACAGTTCGTGGGTTTGAGCCCCATGTCGGGCTCTGTGCTGACAGCTAGCTCAGAGCCTGGAGCCTGTTTCAGATTCTGTATCTCCCTCTCTGACCCATTCTATATCTCCCTCTCTGACCCTTCCCTGCTCATGCTCTCTCTCTCTCTCTCTCTCAGAAGTAAATAAAACATTAAAAAAAATAAAAATAAAAACTTTTAAATAACATGCCATGTTCTTGTTTACTATTAAATCCAACGTTAATTCTGACTGAACCAACATGTTTTATTGACTAGTTTCAGGCAAGTACTTCTCTGTTAATACATAAACTCAATAATCATGCTCTTAAGAACACAACAGCAAGGGCACATGCAGGTACCATTACCATTCTCGCTTCCGATAGCAAAGAATGCTCGTCACCACTCCCACAATGACAGCCACTGCCACTGGGATGAGAATGGCAATAATTAATCCCACAGCTGAAAGAGAATAGTGGATATATTCAAATCACTATTTTTAGCATGAAATATAGAATCAATTCCTATCAGAAGATATTTAAGTTGGATTAAAAGGGAAAAAAATCCACTGCTTTAGGGACAACGGAGCTGAAACTACCAAAATATGATCCTCAGGCATTTTAATAATTTTTACACTAACACTTAAACTCTTTAGAGCAGAGCTGAGTGCTACTGACATGTTAGACCAGATTCTTCTTCTCTGTGTGTGGGGTGAGGAGGCTGTTGTACATGCTCTAGAAAGTTCCACAGAATCCCTGGGCTTTCTTTCACCCACAAGATCCCAGTAGCACCCCACAGTTCTGAGATCCAAAAATGTCACCAGATATTGCCAAGTGTCCCACAGGAGGCAAAAATCACCCCTGGCTGAGAACTATATCCTCATGGTGCTTTAGTAGGAGTGCGTGTGAAGTCCGCCTCGGGGCCAGAGAACACGCCATGTCCCAACTCGAGTTCTTCACTGTGGACGGTCAAGCCCATCTTCCTTCCTCTCTATCTCACATCTGTGAAGGCTGGGCTTCCCACCCCCCACTTTTTTTTTTAAAGGATATTTCTTTCACCCTTCTCTGGATATGTTAAAACTCACATTTAGAATAGTTAGGGCAAAAAATGATAAAGTAGGTCACCATTATCTGAATTCAACATGAATTCAGAACTCCACACTTCAGATGTATCCTTAATTCCTTAATTTCTTAGGTTCTCACTAGGAAATGGCTCCAGATAAGTGACAAGAATAAATGTGAAGTCATCCCCGTGGCCTTTGAACGCTACTGGCTACCCACTATAAATGTGCAACAACACATGAAAGTTTTTAAAAAAGGGTTCCCACATCAACAAAACTTGCCAGTACATTATGCGTTTAAGTATGGAAAGCATCTCAACAGCAGTTATTAACTTACAATTTTCCTTTGTCACCACGAACATGCTCTTCTCTGGGCCCATCCCACCATCTGTATAGGCTCGCAGGACCAGATGGTAACTCGTTTTACCCTGAAGATCAGCAATTCTCAGCGTCTTCTGGGAGAGGTCGGTAATATTCTTAACCTTTATGTCCGAACGACCTATTTGTAAAGTGAAGAGTATTATTACTGATGTCTACACCATTTTAAACACCTGGTTATTCAACTCTTGTTCTACCCACATCCCTTTCAAGTGACTGGTTGCTGGTGACTGGCAGGGCCAAGGCAGGTGGAATCAGCTAAGTCCCACCACAGTAGCCATGTGATCAGGACCTACTACGTAAACCACTCTGAGCTTGAGTTTCTCTAACCATGGAAGTGAAGTTTCCATACATTCTCTAGGATAATCCCAGAGGATAGCAGACACACAAGGAAAGTCCCTTCTCTTCCTAAGGGCATGAAAACGCACCACAACCACAACCTGCTGGGGAGGCCGACACTGTGCCTGAGGCTGGTCCTGCCTGAGCTGAGAGAGAGGCTCGAGGGAGACGAGCCTACCTCACTAGAGCGCTTGCTCCAAACCACCCAGGGGAAGTGGCGGCACACCAGGTTCCCGGATGAGCCACTAGTGGGGAAGCCTTGAATCATTTCAAAAGAAGTATGAAGAATTGTTTAAACCGTTATTTTGAAGTTTTAATCAAAATACTGGAAGACAACAGTTTGAAAACCTGAGCTGTACTAAATGGCTAACAATAACAAGTAGCAGCTCCCTACCAGAACTTTCCCCTGCCAGCTACCATCACCACACAATCTGCTTCCTTGGGGATTTACTGCCGTATTCTGAAAACAACTCAGACTGGTAGAGCTTTGATTTAAAAATATGATTTGGTTTTGATTTATAAATTTGATGTAGATATTCCATACTCATGTCCTACAAAGAAGGTGAAGCTCTGGTATTCTCCGCACCACTTCCTCCTCATCCCACGTCATTCACACAGACACACGGAAAGGTCTGGGAAACCCACTGTTTCTGTCACTGTGATCACAGAAACGTGAATTCCTGTTAAGATATGTTGCTTGGTCTGCCCAAGTTCCCTTTCTTGTTTAACTGTCGTTATAACAGTGTTTTTTTCCTCATTTGCTTAGCGTAACTATTCCTAATTCTTCCCGTATCCTCCTGTGGATATTCAACACAATTGTTCACATGGCCCAACACAACAAAACCCCGGTGCCATGACCAGCCTCCCCCAACTCCTGCCTATGTCCCCCTGGGCCCCCTCCCCAGGGTGTCTGCTCTGGACCTGAGGCTTTCCTAGCTCCCATCCCCCTGGACTGACGGGTTCTTCTAGAGCCCCTAGAAGGAGGGACGGAGAAGGAAAGATCTGCAGCTCTCCAGGTCTGAAAATGCCTTCATTCTCCTCTCACACTGGCTGGAAGACTGAGAGTACAGACCTCTAAGTTGAAAATTTTTCACTCAGTAACTTGAAGACATAGCTGTGCTGTCTGCTGGCATCTGGCATATTGTTGAGAAATCTGAGGCCGCTCTCATTTACTGATGCCTTGCACGTAAGCTACTTTTCTCTGTTTCTAGGACTTGTTCTTTATCTACCAGGTGCTTTGGAAATTGTTGACGACCTACCTTGGTGTAGATTTGTTTTTTCTATTTATCTGTGTACTTAACGGGTGCTTTTACTCTATGTATCCTGGTCTTTCAGTTCTGGGAATGAATGGTGTTATACTCTTTCTTTGGTAATTTCCTTCTATTTCCCTCTTCTCTCTTGAGAGAACACCACCCTAAAAAGCATGACAGTGCAGGCCTCTGATGCTCTAACTTCCTAATCTTTTTACTCCAAGTTTTCTCTTCTGCATTCATCTAACTTGGGGAAGAATTTCTCTATTTTCCGTTTAATTTCTCTATCTTCTATTTAATTCTTTCAAATTTTCTTCGATCACATTTTTAATTTTGATGAACCCTTACCTATCTTCTGATTGTTCCTTTTTAGAACATCATGTCTTTTCAATAGATACAGCATATCTCAACTATGTAAATTTGTTTCCCTACATTGAATCTGTTTCCTCTCATTTCTTCTGGTCCTCATGTTAGAATCTTCCTCAACTGTCTGGTGATCCCTGGCTGCTGGTCATGGTGAAGAGGTGAAGAGTGAGCCTCTGGAAGGTCACTGTGAACTGGTGGCACTTACTAGATGGTGGGCATCGCTTGCCACTGGTGGGGAATGGCCAGGTCAATTTCCAGCCTTTCACTGGGACAGCCCCCCAGTACCAGCACCTTTTGTGTCTTTCCTCAGTAAGCATTTACTTCATCCAAAGAAAGATGCTCTAATCTCATCCAAGGAAGCAGGCCTCGCTGATGATGTCCCGATGTCCTACCAGCTTCCCATCAGAGCCAGGAGGGGAAGGGAGGGTCACACTGCTTCCTGTCATGTCCCCTTGCTGGAGGCTCTCTGGTCACGTCCCCCTCGCTGGAGGCTCTCTGGTCACGTCCCCTCGCTGGAGGCTCTCTGGTCAGGTCCCCTCGCTGGAGGCTCTCTGGTCACGTCCCCCTCGCTGGAGGCTCTCTGGTCACGTCCCCTCGCTGGAGGCTCTCTGGTCACGTCCCCTCGCTGGAGGCTCTCTGGTCACGTCCCCTCGCTGGAGGCTCTCTGGCTCAGTCTCTCCAAAGAACAAACTCCTTGGCTTTAGGCAGAGGAGGGAGCACTCATGCTCACTACATGAAGTCTGTGGAGGACCTGGGGGATCTAATTGCTTCTCGCAGACTTTCAGGAGTTACCCTCACTGCTCAGCCCATATCCACCCTAACCATCCGCCTCCGGTCCTGGCCCCACCTAAGGAGTCAAATTCTTTATCGCTGAAGCCTGAACGAACAGCTGGGTTTCGCGGAGCTCCACTTCCCTAGGCCACGTGCCCACGCCCATCGGCTCCAAAACACCCACGTGGTGCACTCTTGCTTGTCCAGTTCTCTTTGGGTTTGTGGCTTTATGCCTTCTTTTCTTCCTTTAGTGACTAATCCACCATCTCTAAATGGAAGTCCTTATGCTAGAATTTTAACTGATCCAAGTGCAACATTTCCGAGCATTTGAGAAAAATTTCACTAGACTCTGGATGTTTGCAGAACTTTGTATTTAGGATTTTTCTCATTCACAGGCAATGGAAGGGTCAGGAAATGAGGACCTCGGTGATGTGGGGGAGGTGCCCACAGAATGCAGCTGCCCTGGGAAGTGACTTAGCTAGTGCCTGGTCAGCATCTCCATGTGGCACTGTTGTTCTCTACTTGCTGGACAGGCATTAAATAATTAAAATGGTTTCTTTCTGAGGAGAGGTCATTAAGGGAAATGAAAGCTCTCCAATTGGAAAGATGAGACGCTTGTGTTATGTGGCTATGAACACGAATCATCTGACTCCCAACAGAAATATAATTTAGGGAGAAGCCAGAGGTCTGCATAAACATCTCTGTATTTGTAAATTTGAAAATTCTCTAAGGTATTTGGACACACGCTTACCAACTGTCGAGGATTGACTGTACTTTTTAGGATCTAATGGACACACACGTCCCCAATCAAGTCAATTAAGCTGGCCGGCTCATTAAGGCCCTGGCGAACTGTGCGGATGGCTCTTTGTCAGAGAACAGCAGTGGCTACAGAGCCCTGCTTTGGGTTCCTGAGTTTTTCTCTTCCAATATTATATTTACAGGTGCTATGTAAGATGCAATGTTATGCATCATACAAGACTAATGAGAGATGGTCTCCCCGTCCTATGGGGCTTATTATCAAGGGCTGCAGAATAAATAATTTAAATGAAAGAGGGTACATGTCTTTTATCACACCCTAAAATCCTAAAATTGTCATATTCATACATTTTCATTTACCTATTTTTCAGATAGTTTTGGAAACCAGTATTAAATTGCTCAACAGCACTTCTTTTTCTTTTTTTTTTGGGTTAATGAGAACTTCTAGCAAGTACTATTCTTGCTGTAATTTACTTACCTGATTCCAAACCCCTTATCTTAGACGTGTCTCTCTCTCCTTTTTCAAAGTAAAATAAATATCCTCTTAAAAAGCCTCTGAGCTCTTCCACAGGAATATCTTCCCATCTTACTAATATTGAATCTGCCGATGTGTCCTCAACAGTAAAATTTGGTGCAACAATTGGAGCTGGAAAAGGGGAAAGTGGATGGTTAAGGGAGAGTTTACTGATACAGAGCAAGCCATCAACATTTAATGAGATTTCTATCCTCAAAAATAACTGAATTTGGAATCAGAACTTTATTCTCTATTAGGTCATCAACTTTCAGAAATTCAATCACAAGCATTTTTCCTATAAAGTTTGTGCACTAATAACTAGACACACAAAGGTGAAGCCCAGGACACACACACCCAGGGAAGACACCCTGGGCCAAGTCTGTAGGTGGCTACTCCAACGGACAGTCTTCAAGTTAATGTTTTTTTTACACATGTTTAACTGCAAATTAAGTATTTTTGACATCAAAATGAAGATCTGATTTTATCAACAGTAAAATTGTGAAATATAAGCATTCAAGAAATGAAGAGGTAGTAATCACAATTTTATATTAATCATACAGATTATTTTCCATTCCTTCAGTTAAATATCTCAATTCAGTCTATTTATAGAATTCACTCTAGCAATTGTTGATTTCTAATTTCTCATGTTACCTTGAACTTTAAGAAAACTTACCCATGTAACTTACCCAATTCTTCTATGTATCCAATTACAGAACGTAGTAACTGATAGCCTTGATTTCTGCACCCATACAGAAAAAAATTGTATCGTACACCTGGTCGAAACTGATCTACAAGATGAACACAATTAACTTTCATAAGTACATACTACTATGAGCATCTATTTTAGAAACATCAAATTTATGTTGTTATTCTGAAATTTCCAAAGCAAATTTTAAACACGTTTTCTTATTTAAAAAATACATTCATATTTTCAAAATTCATATTCAGAATGAAAAATGACTGAAGAAAAATGAAATTCCCTCTGTTGCAATGAACAGTATTATACATAACATGCCATGACCTTGAAGGGAAAGAATAGTGATCAAGAATAGTGATCAAACAAACTTCCAATTTGTTTCTTAAAATCAAGCAATGATGACTTCTTCCCAGATCTGGTCCAGGGTCAGTTGACTAGCCAGTCGCAGGTCTACATCAAGCCGCTGGAAAGTCCTTCAGTGGCCAGTGTTCTGTCTCCCTCCTTGCTCCAAAAAGCAGACACTAACATTTCCTCCCTCCCTTGATGCTGCAGGGTGGAAGGAATGAGCCGTAGAGTCTCCTTCTCTTTATAGCATTACCATTCAATGCCCCTAAGTTATTAAGTTCACAAGACATGCAAGAGAAGCATCTTAACTTCAATTTAAAGAGCCCCTTTTTAAATACCTCCTTGATATTATGCAACATGAGAAATGCTGCGAACAGGTGGACACAGTATAGCCCGTGAGCTAGAAAGGCTACCAGTGCGGTGGGAGGACAGATGAATGGCGGTAATAACCATGACACGATGTGCTAGACTACAGGGGCCTGTCACAGGTTATGGCACCTACAATGAGTTTAAGAATATCACAAAAAGCCACCAAGAAGTGACATCAGAACAGGGCCTTAAAGGGCAATTAGGAGCTCACCCACCATGGTGGTCTAGGGAGATGACACTGCTCAGGGGGAAATTCTGGGGTGGTCAGAGCACTGGTTCTCCAGCTATGTGCCCACAGAACACCAGTGGGTCTACAAGCTCAAGAGACAGTCAACCTCTACAATCATTCTGTAACATTTTTCTTTGGAGACAGGTGTACCCAAGGTTATTTTAATCTGCATGTACCCAGCATTATGTTACACTTAATGTATATCAGTATTCTATAGGGTTCTGCTGCCTTAAGAAGAAAAAGAGACCAAGTGGGGCTACATGTTTTTAGGTCATAAAATACACAGGTTATGAGTAGATGACTGGGTTGAGAAAGGGACAAGAAAAGTGTGTCCTGTGGCCATGCACTGTCCCAGCAGCCCTACAGGACCACGTACTGTCCCTGAGGCTCGTAATGGCTTTGACTGTGAATCCTGGTGCTATCCCAAACCAGTTTTGGAATCCTGGGACAAGTCACCTAACTTCTTAGAGCCTTTATTCTCTCAACCACTGCAGGGCCTTTGCTCACCTGCCTTGGCATGGGAGGCTGGCCTTCTCACCCTCCAGGTCACACTCTATCCAAGGAAATCCCTCTCTACACCACCGAGCCTGTCCCAGTCCACCCGGTCATTCTCAAAGCCCAGGTGAGAAGGCTAGAAGAGGGATGAGAACCCCGGTGGCATCTGCCAGGACCATGGGAGGCTCAGGAAGCTCCATGGGAGGGGAGGGGAGAGGAGGGGAGGGGAGGGGAGGGGAGGGAGGGGAAGGAAGGGCAGGGAGGGCGCAGGAGAGGAGGCAGCATGCTCCGGACACTCTGATGAGAGAGGTATGCTCTAAGAAAGGATAAAAGGAACCACCGCATACTTCAAGGAGACCTGGCAAATGATCTCAATCCACTTGTTGTAATCTAGTGGGTGGGACTCATGTTCACCTTTTGACAGTGGAAAAAGCAAGCAAGTAGCACTGGTTCTCCGGGAGAGAAGCATCAGCAGCTGCTTTCATCTCCTGAGCCTCATGCCCTCATGAGGGAGAACCAGGACAGCGGAATGACCTGGAGAAGCGTCACCACCGAGCTACAGGTTCCACAATTCCCGAGGGTGGAGGCACAAAACATGCACCAGCCACTCAGAAGGAAGGGAGTGGAAAGGACAGTGGAAAGGGGCTGTAATTCCCAAGAACAAGGCTGGCTTAGCCTGCAGGTTACCACACACTCCTCACGGCTGAACTTGAGACCACACCTATCTAAAGCAGTTCACCTTGTAGAACTCATAGCTTGTCAACAGTCAGGCATTGGGAACGGTCCCCCCAAACAGGCACGCATGCCCCCTGCCACTGATGCCCGTGTCCTACACCAGGAGTGACAGCTGTCAGTCCTTTGGTCTTGGCTCTGCCTACCTACCCCCATGGCCTGCGCCCTGGGCACATGGTGAGTGAGACCAGACTGCTAAGGGTCCACAGTCTCCTGTCCTCAGGAGCATGTCTCCACAGTGTTACATACTTGACACAGTCTCTGGTGCTGACACTGCACTTTATACATGTACTGTAATTTATTCATTCTCCTGTTTGCTGTTTGGCTTTTCAATTTTTATGTTTATAAATAGCACCATGGCGAACATTCTTAGATGTAAGCTGATGTCGCTCTCTGGTTATTTCTTGGAATTTATTCTTAGACAAGTAATTTCTAGATCAAAAGATATGAACCATTTCACACACATATGGCTACAAAGCACTTTCCAGAAAAGTCACTCCAACTCACACTGGTGGTAGGGGGCGAAGTGGTCACTCATTACACTCAGTCACACCATGTACTGCTCTTTAAAAATATATTTTAAGAACTTTCATTACGAGGCATGAGTTCATCTTACCAGATTCTATTACAGCTTCAGTGCTGTTTGAAGGGACTTTCTTCCAGTCCATAAGGCAGGGCTCGGACCGAGAGGAGTTACACCACTTAATAACATAGTCACAAGTCATACTGGGATCGTAATTCCACGTAAGGAGAATTCCACTTCCCATTCCGACCACCTGCTCTACTTTGAGATCATCTTCAACAAGAAAGAAGAGTATTTTACTTGTATTAAAAACAGTAACATAAGTAAATCTCTTGAAAATGAGCAGGAGTTAGAAAAATTATTTCACAGTAGAGAAATTTTGAAAGAGTGCTCAAACTAGATAAACCTCTAGCAAAGTTTAGAAATGCTGTCTGTTATTTCTGTTGCAGAGTAGTAATTACTGGTAAATAAAGGTAAACTCGGGGGCCGGAGAAAGTAATGAAAGAGCGGGGCTCTTTCACAGGATAGGCGGGGACACAGCGGGGCTGGGATGTGAAGGTCAGAGTCAGGGGCTGTGGCTGAGGGTGTGAGGGCACTAGAGGGGGTGCAGCAATGCCGGGCGCAGGCATGCCAGAGACCGGTGCAGAGCACGAGTGGGCAGTCCCAACCTCTCCTCTCCTTGTCCACGATGGACAGAACAGATGTGAGCCCCGTGCAAGCAGACGGCGGGGTGTGCCGGCAACCCCAGCCCCGGGTCCAGACACACAGAGCAGGAATGCAGTAACATGTGGTGAACGAGGGATTAGAGCAGACCTGCTCTTCCTTTCAGGCCCATGGGGGGCTGCAGGGGCTTCTGGAGAAGATGTGAGGAATGGGGAGTCTGCTGAGATGCAGTGGGATCAAGAGCTGTGGGACAGAACGACCAGTGTGGACAAAGGGAGGGGTGAGGTGCAGAGGATGGCGGGAAGGGGGCCGTGCTGAGGTTCTGTTTCCCCATCCTACCAGATCCTGGTGCAGGGATAAGGGGGGCCCAAGGTTGGGGGTGAGGATTGTATAGGTTAGGCCGAAATTTCCCACAGTAATGGGAGAAGAGACATAATTTCTGTGACTGATTTATATTCAAGGGTTTAGTAAAGAGTCAAAGAAAGGTTTTCTGGAAAAAAAAATTGCACTCATGGCAATTACTACCTAACACAAGACAACAATTTGACTTAGAATTCAGAAGACTTTGGATATAACATGTTTGGGCTCAATGTGATGAAAACCCCACCGTGTAAACCTGTGCTGAGGCCCAGGGCCTCCACCTTCGGAAATCCTCAAGGAACAATGATTTCTTCTTAACTGTCTGGGTACTGATGCTAGACCACTGTTAGCTCCATAAACTGCCCCCTTCTGAAGGACACAGGGAAAACGCAGGAATATAGTTCTTAAAAGACAGCTGAGCTATTGCCTATCATTACAAAGCAATAAAATATAGACTCTAAATCAGAAGGCTGTCTTCATATGGGTGTTCACACCTCTCTTCTCTCTCTGTGTCTCTCTTTCCTTTCCTTTTTGTGCTCACAGTGCTACCTGGAGACCTGTCCTTGCTGGTGTGTACTACCTGGGCTCTGTGTCGTGTGTCTCTGAACTGTATGGTACTTCCCCATTAGCCCTTCCTAATTCCCCTAGGGTCGGCAGAAACAAACCAAAGAGGCTAAGTTACAAGCAGTAAGAAACTGACTCAATCAAGAATTGAAAAGATACTCAGAGGACCCTCACTGGACCAGCTTTTCTTCCTTTATGAGTGGGTGGTCATAGACAGGAGCTCCCATATTGGGGCAGGAGAGCAAAGGGAGGGAGAGAATAGGGAATGACCTCAATGAGGAGTTAACTGGGAAAGAGGCAGAGGTGGCTGTTTAAAACTCCCAAGTCTAGGGGCGCCTGGGTGGCGCACTCGGATGAGTGTCCGACCTCAGCTCAGGTCATGATCTCATGGTTCGTGGGTTCGAGCCCCACGTCAGGCTCTGTGCTGACAGCTCAGAACCTGGAGCCTGCTTCAGATTCTGTGTCACCCTCTCTCTCTGCTCCTCCCCTGCTCATGCTCTCTCTCACTCTTGCTCTCAGAAATAAATAAAAACATTAAAAAAATTTTTAAACTCCCAAGTCAGCCAAACTCTCAAGGCAGCCAAAGAATAGACGCATCACTGGGAACCCATGACATTTAAAGAAAGGCAGAGGCATCTGGGTGGCTCAGTCTGTTAAGCATCCTCTTGATTTTGGCTCAGGTCACAATCTCATGGTTTGCAAGATTGTGCCCCATGTCGGACTCTGTACTAACAACGCGGAGCTTGCTTGGGACTCTCTCTCTTCCCCTCTCTCTGCCCCCTCTCAAAAAATAAATTAAAAAAAAAAAGCTACTAAGTTAATTTCAAAATTGCCTCAGTTACGTTATAAAGCTTATATTGATAATATGTATTATAATATTATAATAAAGAATGTCTTACCAACAAAGTTGCCACTTAAAATAAGAAATTTGTCCCAGCTGACAGTTTGTAAAACAGCCTAGCTGATATAGTACCAGCTCTCATGATCTTGGAGACATAAATGAAAACTATACTTGAACAAGTAGTTGAAACATTTCCTACAAAGAGAAACCTATGACCATAACTCTCCAACATTATGCACTAGAGTAACTGGGTAATTATCTTATCCATCAGTAGATGTTTGGAGTCAACACTAATGACTGCTCTCTCTCAATAAATTAGGGCCATTAATCTGTTTGTTCCTCCTTTTGTACCAGCAGCAACAGGGGATAGGAGAAGAAAGCTGCCATTATGAGAGCAAACACCTTCAAAATACTTCACTCTAATTTCCTGTTCTTATGTACTGTGTTACATTAAGTACTCACCATTTGGAATTTCCATACTAGCTATTTTAGAAGGTGGTGATGAACCAACAGAATTTTTTGCCACCACACTGATGATGTAGTCGTTTTTATCAAGTTGTAGTTCTGCCTTGTGTTGAGGATCAGGGATCTCAGAAAGGGACTGTGTTTCCTCATCTAGCGAACATGACACATTATAGGAAAGGATTTTCCCATTAGCTTCGTTAATGGGTAAAGGCTATGAAAAACAGAAAAATAAATTCTGTCAAGAAACCTGCAAAAAATGGCTACATGATGAGGCAAGACCATCCATCAAGTCTAAACAGAGTACTGCATTAATCATGACAATGTAACATGGGGACAGATGAAGTTGTTAATAGTATAAAACATGGGTTTAGGGGCAGTTGGGTGGCTCAGTTGGTTAAGCATCTGACTTTGGCTCAGGTCATGATCTCATGGTTCGTGGGTTCATGGGTTCGAGCCCCGAGTCGGGCTCTGTGCTGACTGCCAGCTCAGAGCCTGGAGCCTGTTTCGGATTCTGTGTCTCCCTCTCTCTCTGACCCTTCCCTGCTCACACTGTCTCTCTCTCTCTGTCTCTCACTCTCTCCCAGAAATAAATAAAACATTAAAAAAATAATAAAAAAAAACCCACGGGTTTAAAAGGCATGAGACCTGTTACATCAGGAAAGTGATACTGAAGGGAAACGAGTTACCATAAGCAGTATGAACACACAGGAATTTAAAAATTAGATACATACAAAATAGCACTTAGCTTCACATTTTTTAGAAACAAAAAAAAGTAGTAAGAATGACTGCTTTACCCAACAAAACAAAAAATTATGGTGTGAGGGGCGCCTGGCTGGCTCAGTCAGTAGAGCACGTGACTCCTGACCTCAGGGTGTGTGTACAGAGATAAATAAAACTTTAAAAAATTTTTGGGATCAGTTTTTTTTCTAACTAAAAAAAATTCTTTTAATGTTCATTTTTGAGAGTGACAGAGAAAGTGCAAGCTGGGGAGGGGGGCACAGAGAGGGAGACAACAGAATCTGAAGCAGGATCCAGGCTCTGAGCTGTCAGCACAGAGCCTGACGCGGGGCTTGCTTGAACTCACAAACTGTGAGATCATGACCTGAGCCACAGTTGGATGCTTAACTAACTGAACCACCCAGACACCTCTATGGCATCATAGTTTTAAAAAAATATTTATTATTTTTTCAAAGCAGTATATGCTAATCACCAGAAAGTTAGGAAATTATACAAAAATTAAAAGGAAAAAAACTATAAAATGTTCCCATATGCCCATCTCTTAAATATACTCTTTACATTTTGATATTTCTTTCCTTCAAGTTGTTTTACTAAGATGTAGATTTTTTGTTAACATTGTTTTAATCATACTATACAATTTATCTTTTTTGCCTTTCTGTAATATATTTGTCCATATTATATACACTATTTAATGGCTTTATATTTTATGTAGTATTTTTACTAGTTGAACTGAATATTACTTAAATAAAATTTAAGTAGTTTCCAACTTTTCACAATACTAAAATAATATCTGGTGCCACTTTTTTTTTCTTTTTCGTAGTTAGGATTAATTCTTTAATATGGATTTCCAACGTAGACTTACTGGGTATAAGGAAACATTCAAACTTCTTTATTTATGGAGCTAAACTGCTTTGCAAGACTATTGCTCCAGTTTATAGGACACTGCATGGGAGCCTCTGATCCAGATGGATCTTGGTATTAATACTCTGCTGAAAATGCTGCCCCACAACGGGTGCCCAGTGACTCTCCAAGGGCCTGTCCTACTGAACCCATTATCATCCTAAGGCCCGCGGGCTTCACTGGGTGATGCTGGCTGCTATCGCTCTTTCACCGACCCCCCTCCCTTGGCTTCTGCTACATTATTTTTATCTGGTCTTTCTGCCCCTCTAACCTTCCCACTCTCCACTGCTGGATCCTCTTCCTTTGCTGGTCCTTTACATGCTGTTTTCACCTGGGGTCTCTCCTTGGCCTATTTCCACCCTGCAAGCTCTACGAGTGATCCCAGTTATATGTGACTCAAAGCTGTGTCTTTAGCTCCAATGTCTCCCCTGAACTCCAGAGCCTTATATCAAATCACCACCTATTAGACTCTACTTGGATATCCCACTGGCACATATTTTTAAAAACATATTTACCAATTCAACCCCAAAGAACTCAATTTTCCACCCAAATATGCTCCTTGGCAAATGGCAGAACCATCAACCTAGTCACCGAAGTTACAATCACTTCAGTATTACTAAAATTTGGTTAAGCATTTGTCTAGTTTGAACATTACAGGTTTTCTCTACACTTGAAGTAATGGTTCTGCAGCACCAGGCTGACATGTGGAACAGACAGCGCAAGCTCCTATTCTGTCTTCTGATTCCAAAAATCCATGTGATATATTCTTCCCAGATAGAGAACATAACTAGATACTAAACTGTTAAGAACAGAAACTACACTTGATCTTAGCTGAAAGGCTGAATACACTGAAGTGACTGTGTCATTGTTACTGTATTATCATGAAATGTGACAGACAATTGCTTGAGTAGCCAGTGGATTTTTAATCAAGAGTAAGGGGTGGGGGCTTAGTCGATTAAGCGTCCAACTCTTGATTTCAGCTCAGGTCATGATCTCACGGTTCATGAGATTAAACCTTGTGTCCAGCTCTGTACTGACAGTGAGGAGCCTGCTTGGGATTCTCTCTCCCTCTCTCTCTTGCCCCACCCCTTCTCTCTCTCTCTCTCTCTCTCAAAAATAAAATAAACATTAAAAAAAAGTAGCAGGGGTACACAGTCATATACAGACTGTCACAAAGCAACAGAACTTACAGTGAACTCGCATATAGACTTACTTAATGATGTACTGACATCAAATTTCTGCAAAAGTACAATTGTTTTACTTTCAATTGCAAAATTCACTATTTAAAGGAATCCAATTATGACGGTTCTTATAATACCTGATGTGGAAAACAATTATTTTTGATGTTTGCAAATCAAATAGAATATAGCAACAAAAATATTTGCTTCTCGTTAGTAGAGAAAAATTGTAAAAACAGAATGCAACTTAAATCTAAAAATTTTAACAAAATTTTACAACTTAATTTTCCACCCAAATGCAAAAACTTTAAGTGGCATATAATAATGCAATTTATTTAAGGGAAACAAATTACACATGAAATATGTAAAAAGCTTCCTATTTGCTCAAGATAAAAAGCGTAACATCAACACAACTAAGATTCTAAATTGTGGCTTCTTGAGGTGTTTCTGACTGAAGTGACAGGAAATTCATGAAATCCTCAGGTCCTTTACAGACCTCGTGAAATCAAACTAAAGAATGCTCCAATCTGACAGAGAAGACACTCACCACGCTGACTGTGGTGATTCAGTATTGATGAGGCATCTGGGGGGTTTTAGTACCAGGTTAGATTCTCAGCAGTGCTGCCAAGAGCCAGTCTGGGAAATCTGGGTTCCCTGAGAACCCAAGTACCATATACAAGTTAAGTAGTTTAGCATAATGGAATTATTTAAATATTTGAAGAAAAAAATTGGATATTTACCTTCCAATAGATTATTAAATTTTTTCCATCTGAACTCCATTCTCTCCAAGTATCTGGTCCCTTTGAAGGAACTAAGAAAGAGATTTAAAAGTTAGCATTTGAAGATGTGTACTCTATGCCAGTTGATGCTATCAAGAATTGAGAGGGGCGCCTGGGTGGCTCAGTTGGCTGAGTGTCCGACTTTGGCTCAGGTCATGATTTCGTAGTTTGTGGGTTCGAGCCCCGCATCAGGTTCTGTGCAGGCAGCTCAGAGCCTGGAACCTGCTTCAGATTCTGTGTCTCCCTCTCTCTCTGCCCCTCCCCGGCTCATGCTCTGTCCCTCTCTGTTTCAAAAATAAACAAAAAACTATTAAAAAATTAAAAAAATAAAACAACGGAAAAAAAAAACTGAGACAGTGGTGCTTGAGATTCTTTTCTAGGTTTTTGGAATTCTCCATAAAAACAGGAGGTAGTTAGGTGGCTTCCACTTAGAAATGAAGCGATGAAAAAGCTAAGCTCTCAACATCTGCAAAACATTAAGGCCCCTTAGAGTGGATTAAAATCACCCTTCAGGCCCAGTGATGCTTGGTGCTGCTCTGTCTCACATCTTCCCACTTCCTCTTGCTCAGGTGGGCTCTGGCCGAGCACTGGCTTCCAGGTCCTCCTCCAACATGTTAAGGACGCTAGCCTCAGGCTTCCTGAGCTTTCTATAACCTCCATCCCTGTGCGCAGAAGCTCTCCTCTACTGATTATCAACGTAGCTTGCTACCTCACCTCTCCGTATCTCAGCTCCAATGTTGCCTTCATAGTGAGGTCTTTTCCAGCTACCGTATTTAAAACTACAACCCCTCCTCCCCTGTCTTTTCCTAGTTCCCTTCCTAGGCTTTATTTTTCTCTGTGGCACTACCCAAAATACTATTTCTAAAAATTTATTTCTAATTCTCTAGCCTATAAACTCCATGGGCAAAGACTGTTTCATCCACTGCTATATCCCTGGTGACTGGAACAGTTCCTGACACGTGGTGGGTACTCAGTATTTGTTAAGTGAATTAATGCTGTCATCTTAATGAGGTGTAGATAAAGTGTTTCCTCTTGGCAACAGCAGCTCATCAACTGAATGCAAAGGCTCCTGTGGCAGCCAGTCTGCAAATGACCAATGATATTGATCATGTCTCGTGATATGCCTGCCTGTGTGGTCCCCTCCCCCCCACATATCAGCATTAGCCTGTGTGACTGACAGGGTGCATGACATGATGGCACCTCCCTTCTGAGGCAAAGTCATAAAAGGCATTGTGGAGGCACCATGTTGTCTCCTCACCAAGTCTGGGAGGAGCTACCTGCCATGTTATGAGGCCACTCGGCAGCACTACAGAGAGGTGTGCATGGTGAGGACTGGCCACTGAGTGAGCCATCCTGAAAGCAGATGCTCTAGTCCCAGGCAACCCTGCAGCTCCCACCCACGTCCACACTGTGGCCCCATGAGAGACTCGAAGCCAGAGATACTCAACTAAGCTGCTTCTGAATTTCTGACCTGTACTCATTGTGAGAGAATAAATGTTTACTGTTTTAAGCCCCTGCATTTTAGGGTAATTTGTTAGGTAGCAACGAGTAACTAACATACTCCCTCTTTGGACTCATGCATGGGATTCCATTTTGATGATCCAAACCACCTGGACACAATACTGCAAAGCTCCTGTCATCACTCTAACCTCCCTTCACGTGGAGAGGCAAGTCTGGATCAACATCAGTGTGTGTTTTACTGTTCATTAGTTTTTCAGAAGAAATTTTATATTCCCCTTATTATCTAGTATAAATAAAGCTTTTTCTATCTTTTGAATGACTTCTGAAAATTATACCTATTTTTATGTTTTTTGTTTTTGATTTTCAAAGCTGACAAGTGGTTAATCAAGGACAGAATTTCATTCTGCCTTTGGAAATTAACATACTCAGGAAACCAGTCAACTAGTTTTGTACCTATTCTGACCTTGATGTACTGCATAACTGACGTTCAATACTCTTGGCCCCATCCATTTCTCAAGCCTAGGTTGCAAATAAAAACTCCAATAAATTCTCTTTATCAAGAATTGTCTTCAGCAAACAGAATTGAACAGAATTAAAATTCTAGGTGAAGGAGGAAAGAGTGTGAGAAAAATCACCCGATAATCTGACCAGTTTCTGGTTTGTTTCCTCTGTGTCATTTTAGGACAGCTGTAATCATCTGGCAGGCAGGCCTGGAGTCCCCCACGCCACATGGGCCAAGGAGCTGTCCACACTATCCCAAACCTTAGAGCCACCATTTAGAGTGTCTGGATGATATTTTACTAGCAGATATGATACAATTACACAATTCAAGTGTTCTCCTTTTACTCATTTGGTGACATTAAGAAAAAAAGTTGTAAAATTTCAGGATCCATAGTAATAATTAGCCACAAATCATTTAGTTAACTTACTGGCTTCTGTGGTTAAGTATTTTTTTTCATTGCTCCATCTGCTCCATTTCCAGAAAGTTTCAGTAGAACAGCGAATCCGGAAAGTATATATAGTGTATGGATTTAACTTGTCCACAGCTACAAGATAACTTGAATTTTCTACTCCTTTGATCGTGACATTCCGCTATTATAGAGCAAATAAATATGGATATGTATGTATACGTCATGTCAAGAACACACATTTATACACATACGCTTTTTTTTGATAAGAAAGCTACCCAAATTTGTAACATAAATTGACTAAATGTGCACCTAAGTTTGTGTTTAGAGGATAAAGTTAGTTCATCCACCAAAATGTTTTAAGTTTTACATAAATGCCAAATCAGTAAAATTATGCTCTGCTATAACCACCAAAAAACTTAGGTGTCATTTTAATCCAAATACTAGATCTAAGTAATAATGATCAATTAAATTATGCAGAGAAGATGATAGACATTTTGGTCAACGGTCAATGGCTAATGGTAATACGGTAAGCCTTAGATTTAGTAATCTCAGATGACCTTGAGGATTAAATACATTAGTCAGGTATATCTGGAAGCTTCTTTGAGGGAGCTTATGCATTTTTTAATAGGGCACTTAGAACTTTTAGGGTGGTGTTAAACACGTAGAATATTCAACAAATTCTTATTTCAAGTACATAAAATTAATATGAAACAGTTTAAACAAATTTGGGGATCTGCATGCCTCAGGAAATGCTCTGACCTCCCAATTACAAGGCTTTTTGAGTTATATTTTGGCATCTGACTGATTTTTCTAGCAACCATCAATAAGTTTCCAATGAATGTTTTCATTATAGTCTCTTTTATTTTGGACTTGGCACAAATTACGAGATGGAGTAGTAGAAAAGTCAACCTTAAATATCTAAAGTGTATTAAAAAGTCATGTTCTCACTTCTGACTTGTTCCTGCTGCTGCACTTGGCAGTTTTAAATCTTCTCTCTGGCACTTATTAGTCCATTAATTCATGCCGAAGATTATGGCAAAAACTACTCATTCAATCACAAATTTACTGGGCACTAGCTATGTGCAAGGTACTATACTAGACCTGGAAACAACCTAATAAAAGTGAAAGTCATGTTCTATAATATCCAGTATTATTACTGTTTTCAAGTGTTCAATAAAATGCTATTATTACATTGGTACATAGTGTCTTAGTTCTTAGAATATATCTGTAATAAATAATCTGAGAGCTTATGCATATCAATTTACATACTTCTTTTTTTAAGTTTATTTATTTTGACAGAGAATGAGTGAGGCAAGGGTAGAGAGAGAGAAGAGGGGGAGAGAAAGAATCCCAAGCAGACCCCATGCTGTCAGCACACAGCCCAATGCAGGGCTTGATCCCAGGAACCATGAGCTCATGACCTAACCTGAGATCAAAAGTGGATGCCTAACTGACGAAGCCCCCCAGGGACCCCTCAATTTACTTAATTCTTTCTGAAAACTAAGTATTTTACCCAAAGTAACCTCAAAGGAAGTTTACAGAAGAATCTTACTCACCAATTCTTGTACTGAGTTAGTTTTATTAATTTCAATTTGACATAAAAGTTTAATATTTGCAAAGTTGCCCGGTAAATGCCAGGAGAGTGTAACAGCTGTTGAATTAATATCCTTCACTTTGATTGAAGTAGGAATACGAGGATAAACTGTAAATATAATTTGTAAAGATCATTTTAAATGCTCTTTTCTAATACAACAAATGACGATCAAAAAACCCCGAGAAACAAGAGAGGTATCATTAGAGGTATCATTAGTACTGATGAACAGTATCCACTCAGTATCCACGGAGCACAAACGTCACTCTTACTGCTGATATCCTGCCAACAGTTTTCATGGACCAGCCGCGCTCAAGCTTCCTCTACTGCCGTCAGGAATACTACAGGGCAGCAGGAGCACAATCTCTACCTTTAAGGAACCTCTAATTTACTGGGAAACTGACAAACAAAAAGAAAATTAACAAGAGTATGTATGCTAAGTTTGAAATGTGTGGAAGAGACATTCACAGCTACAGGAGTTTAGATAGAAGTGTGGTAGGGAAAGCCTTGGAGTGAAGATGGGACGTAAGAGGCACTTTGAAGGAAGAATCTGACTAAAATTGGCAGAATGGATGCAGAAAAGCATTTCAGGTTGGGGTATGAGCAAGAACAAAGGCACAGTGATGCTGGTGACAGTGCATATGCCATGTGAGTGGGAGGAAAGCAACATGTGAAAATAAGGTTGAAAGGCAGGGGACAGGGAAATACACACAAAACACCACAACTCAAGTACACAATGTAGTTGTTCTGACCTTAGGAAAACCCAGGAAATAACAAAAATGATGAGAAGGAATAACTGATGGAAATGTACTTGTGTTTACAAACAAGGCAACAAGATCATCTACTGATCACTTGCGAGTCTGTGTTATAGCGGATTTTGGTTTAAGCCTTTCTCACTAAGCAAGCGAGTCTCTAAGAGAAGCCCTCTAGGTCATCGCTCTGTGCTGCAGAGCCTGCTACGGTCTCGCTGCAGTGAAAGGCCACAGGAATGAATGCTAAGTAGATGGACCATATTTAAGTTCTATTTTGAGCTTTATATTAACAGGGCTGCTAAAAATTCCAGAATCATTGGCAATAAAAAGGAACAAACTACTTACTGATACAGACAGCAACTTGGATGGATCTCAAGGACACTGCCCTTAGTAACAAATGCCAATCTCCAAAGGTTATACATGGTATGATTTCATTTATATAACGTTTTCAACATAACAAAGCACTGAGATAAATAACAGATTGGATACTGCCTGGGGACCCAGAAGCAAGAATAGGAGGGGGTGGGGGTTGCTAATAGGGCAGCAGAGAGAATTCCTTTGTGGAATTAAAACAGTTCTGTATTTTGACTGTGTTGGTGGTTCTGTGAACCTATACATGGATTCAACTGCACAGAAGTGCGAGTGCATGCGCGCGCGCGCGCGCACACACACACACACACACACACACACACACACACACACACTTCTAAATGCCCACAGAAACCTGAGAAAACTGAGCAAGGTCAGTAGTCCAGTTCACTGGCCTAGTATGCAGTAGTGTATCAGTGTCACTCGGCTCATTTGGAAACTGTACTATAGTTAATAAGATGTCAAAATGGGGAAGGCCGGGTGAAGAGGTCACAGGGCTTTAATTTATTATTTGTGCAACCACTTGTGAGTCTATAATTAAAATAAAAAGCTTTTAAAACTGGGGCAAAATATTTTTCAGGCATCAAGACCTAGTAAATAAAACCACTTACATTTCTGTGTAAATGACTACTTCAAATTTTTATCTGAATTTAGTAAAATGGTGAAACTTAATTATACATTTTAATGATTTTTCAAATTGAATTTATAAAATTAAGTCACTATAAAGAAAATAGTAAAAAGTAATCCCTAGAAGCACTTCTCATTAATCTCAAGACATTTCAGCGCTCCTAAAGTTATTTTTAAAACACTAGTTTATGAAGCAGCTTACCTTTCTCAGTTATGTTAACTAAAATAGTTGATTCTGATCGACCCAGAGGATTGCGAGCATTCAAAGTAAAATTATAGATTTCTTGATTTGGACGCATTTGAAAGAATAACTGATAGCTTTCATTTGTTGGTGCTTCAACTCTTTTAAACTTAACATATTTTCCTGAGAAGCTATGAATTCAGAGAGCAACAGTATTAAAATAATTTCAAAATGGCAAGAGAGATAAATACTGCAAGAAACAATAAATGGGTAAATTTTCTAATAATGAATCTTTCTTAAACATTTATATTTCTAATTACAGATGTTACTATAGACTCTGGGAAGAAAATGTATAGGATACAGAAAACAGAGGAAAATAATGGGCCATAAGCCTACCACCCAGAAATGGCCTCTGTTCGCATCTGAGGTTCTTCCAGGATTTATAAAACAGCATACTTTTATAGTCTGTGTGCATGTAATATGCAGTATTTACAGCATATCCAATTTCAGACAGCATATTGGGTTTTATATTTTGCTTATAAATGAAAGTATTTCCCCGTATCATTTAATACCCCTCCAATGTACTCCTCACTGTCTGACCTCTTTCCCTGGTGATCGGTACCTTTCAAATAAAGTGTAACTTGTATTGCGTGGGCCCACCAATGCTGTCGGTCTTCCTGGATTCCACGTACATATAATCTCTTTTAAATCATATGTCTCACAATTCAGGTTTTGAGGAATATCAGGTGGATCTAATAGGAAAAAAATGTAGTTACTTATGGGTTACATATATTTTCCCTGAAAACATGTTTCACAAATGTTAATTATATTGTGCACAATTTCTTTTAAAACTGAAAATAACTTCATGTTTACACTGCACCTTGGGAACAATGCAGAAATTGCTGTAGCACCTATTTTGGAGCTAATACTACATTAGAAACGATGGATTAAAACATACTGAACAATGACTGACTAGCTCATTCAGCGACCTGAAGACATTTCCTACCCCCCCCCCACTTAAAATCTACCAAATCTCTCAGAGGAAGCTGTTTCCAACAAGTCAGGAAAATTTACAGGCTAAAAGTATTCATATCTATAATTTATATACTGTGATTTCAAAAGAAATCCCAATTCATATTAAAAGTCAACACAAGCCATGTTATAAGTTTCAGAGTTCTTAAAAGATGTTACAAGGACTATTACTTAGTAAGCACCTCTTGGTGAAATGCTGCATCTCTCTACATTCAGAAGTGACAACTGCTCTTTTGTTTTTGTTCTTTATTGAAATGATTCCCTCTTCCTTTGCAGTAACAAAGCTAGAAAAAAGAATGTGTGTGTGTGTCTGTGTGTGTCTCAGGCCTTTAAAGTAATAATGGATAATTCTGCAGCTGTACACTAATTTTAGAAATTGGTATTTCCAGGGGCACCTGGGTGGCTTGGTTGGTTGAGCATTCAAATCTTGATTTTAGCTCAGGTCACGATCCCAGGGTCATGGGATCAAGCCCTAGGCCTGTTTAGATTCTGTCTCCCCACCTCTGCCCCTCTCTCCTGCTCATTCTCTTTCTCTCTCTCTCTCAAAAAAAAAACAAAAACAAAAGAAAGAAAAATTGGTATTTCTATAATCATGCTTAAACCAAGCATACGCAGAAACTAGTGTTCCCAGTCATACTTATCCAAACTATCTTTCACTGAGTTCTTTAAAAATAATTACCTGTTGGGAAAAAAAAAAAGTGTAAAAAATTTTACTTTTTAATGTTTATTTGAGAAAGAGAGAGACAGCAAGTGTGCAAGTGAGGGAAGGGCAGAGAGAGGGAGGGAGGGAGACAAGAATATGAAGCAGGCTCCAGGCTCTGAGCTGTCAGCACAGAGCCGGACGCAGGGCTCGAACCCACAAATTGTGAGATCATAACCTGAGACAAAACCAAGAGCTGGATGCTTAACCAACTGAGCCACCCAGGAGCCCCAATAATTTTTTTAAACCAAACTTTAAATGCAGTTATTAGACTATGTGAGTAACTTAAAAGAACTTAAAACATTTCTTGTATCTTCCTGAGTAGAACATAGTCCATCAATGATATTTTAGGTAATATTAAGAGGAGTCCTGAGTATTTATATTAAAGTCTAACAACCACATAATGAGACTAAAACTGACATATTTATTTTGAAAATGGTCTTAAATCTAAGACCAAACTTTTAGTCATTTTATTAGAATGATATGCCAAATTTTTGAGTATACTAAAAATGCCGGTTATCTTAGTATTTGGCAGATATGTTAAGTTGAAATAGTTAAAATCCAAATAACAAGAGCAAACAGAAAGGAGAAGAAAGATAGGAGGTAGAAAAAATCAGAGAAGGCAGGATCTGAAAGGTAAGACACTGTCTTCTCAAAGAAATTAGCTTACAAAGGAATCACCTGAAGCTAGGTAAAAACTAAGTATAAAATCAACAGTATTACCAGCAAATAGAAAATGCAATTTAAAAAACAAAGCCATTTTTTATGAAAATGTTTTCAAATGAGAAAGTACAAAATCTGACATGTGATGTAAATATTTAAACACTTCAATTCTATGTCACTGTGTATTATTTTAAAATACTTCAAGTATGATGAAAGATTAATATTTAAGTTAATATTTAATGTCGAAGTGACACTATCTATGAAAATATCTCTGGGGACGCCTGAGTGGCTCAGTTGGTTAAGTGTCCGACTTTGGCTCAGGTCATGTTCTTACTGCTTTAGTTCATGCATAAACACTGACAAATATTGGTAAATATTCTTTTGTCTGTTAGATAAAAAATTTGCAATTACAATAATAACAGGAAAAAAAAGCCACTGTTACTACTAGCACCAAACATCAAATTCATGGGAATAAACTTACTGAAAGATATAGAAGACCTAACAAAATGGAAAGATATACCATGTTTCTGATTTGAATAACTCAGGACAGAAAGAATGAAAATTCTTCTAAACTGGTCTCTTAAATTAATAGACCTAATGGAACTCAAATCAAAATCCTGGCAGGTTCTTATTGTATCTTTTCAACACATGGTGGGTTAACAGAATATCCATAATGGAAAGAAAATAATGAATCTTGATCCCTAACTCACACCATAAACCACCCTTGCTGTTAAGTCCCTAAAGAAATCCCCTGAAGGGAAATTCTACCGCTGCTCCTGAGTTAACAAATCCTGAATATTTCAACCTCCAAATGCTATAAATGAAGGTTAATTTATGAATTAAATAAGTTTGTCCTACTACATGACAGAGGATTAGAATACAGTTGGAAATAATAAAAACTTGATGGACAGTCTCATCTTCTGAGTTTTAATTTTTGTCTTCCATAATTTTGAGTGGCTATTTCACTTTTTGGTATCACTTATCAGGCAGCCTCACTACATATACCACTGGTTCTCAATTTATATTCCATGATCATTTATGAGGAATGTTGTAAGTCATTTCCTAAAATTCCATTAGGAAAGAAATTTCTAAAGTTTAAATTTGAACATTATCTCACTTTCACTTGAATTCCAAAATGCATTACTGGGAAAACAAAAACGGAACATGGTTCCAGCCATCAAACTGAGAAGCGCACCTAAGCGAGGTTATTCCCTTGGGAGTGTATCAGAAATTCAACAGAATGCAACCTAAGCATTCAACAGAAGGAAAAGAGAGGTGGAGAGCAGCGGGTCAGAGGACAGAATGAGAATAAAAAAAAAAAAAACCCACCACAGAAGCAAAAGAGAATCACAAAACCCACTCACTACATCCCACACACTTTATTCATGAAACCCTTTAGCCCAAATTCAGCCTCGAATTCAGAATGGGGGGAAGGAAGCGAAGCACAAACTGCTGGAGGCAAAGCCATCCATGTGCCACATGACAGTTACCACGGGACAAGGGGCAGAAAAGCTCGAAACACAAAATTCTCTGTGGACATTCAACACAAGCTATATAAGCAGGGCAGTCTCCAATGGTAACTTCTGGAAATGTCCTGGACTTTTAGAACTATGGGAGTGACCATCTTAATAAAGATGCCCCTGCATTACGGAGCATGTGTTAGACACACAAACGGAGAGAGGGGCCCATCTAAGGCATGTCCGCCAGCTACCCTCTTCTTCTCAAATACATTACTTGAAAGGTCAAAGCAGCATGCATTATGTTACTGAAAGATTTTGTGTAAAATCATTACAATTTCTTTAATGGGGTAGATTTTAAAAGGTATCTTAAATTTCTTAAAATTTACTTATTTTAGAGAGAGAGAGACAAAGAGTGAGCAGGGGAGAGAGAACAGAGGGACTCCTAACCAGGCTCTGTGCTGAGCATGGAGCCTGACATGGGGCTTGATCTCACAACGTTGATATCATGACCTGAGCTGATAGCAAGAGTCAGAAGCTCAACCGACTGAGCCACCCAGGTGCTCCAAAAGGTACGTTTTACATTTAAATTTTAAAAAGATGTTTTAACTAGGTGGGATGTTTTACCTTTTTAATTTTAAAAGGTATGTTTTAGGTGGGAAACTGACATAGAGTGGCCCTTGAAAGCACAGGGGTTAGGGAACCAACCACCCATGAAATCAAAAATCTACATATAAGAGCACGTGGCTGGTTCAGTTGGAAGAGCACATGGCTCTTGATCTTGGGGTCATGAATTCAAGCCTCGTGTTGGGTGTTATTTTTTTACTAAAAAAATAAACTTAAAAAAAAATCTACATATAGCTTTTCACTCCCCCAAAACTTAACTACTATGTTACTGTTGACTGGAAGCCTTACCAATAACAGACAACTGATTAACATAACATGTATTCTGAGCATTATATGTATTATATACTATATTCTTACAATTAAGTAAGCTATGTAACATGTTAAGAAAATCATAAGAAAAATGAATTTACAGTACTATACTATATTTACTGAAAAAAAATCTATGTATAAGCAGACCCATGCAGTTAAAACTTATTTTTTGTTCAAGGGTCAACTGTATACGAAATAATTCCTAAACAATTTAGGATTCAGAAGTATTGCATACTAATTACCTTCGACTCAACAAAGCTGTTAACTAAGAATTTCAAAATTAGCAGCTGGAGGTTTCAAATCTTATTACAGAACCTACAAGATATAGAAATATGAGTATATAGAAAACAAGCTTAGAACTCCTCTTAGAACAAGCAAAAATTCTGGTGCCTTCATATATCATTTATTAAAGAATTAGAAAAGAGAAAGAAAGAGACAGTACCATTTCCCATCACCTGGAAACAGCATTAAAGCTTTCAAATAGGACCGAAACAGATTAACAGGAACTTTCTTTAATATTAGATACTTACATCCTGCGAAAATGACCGTCCCAAATATGTTATCTTCTGTCGTGAAAACCACATTCGTCCCACTGTTCGCAGAAACAGAAATATTGTGGATCTTGATTGCAACATTTTCCCCATCAAGATGAATAAGGGGGCAATTTGTTTGTCCAATCTGTGCTGATAACACTTTTTCTTGAGTCACACAACAAAATATTATATCTGAGCCTACAAGTATCACTTTGTCCTGAGGAAAAACCTTAGGCTGAGAATCAGGAGACCCTAGAAACAGCAAAAGGAATTACAAATACTTTAGAAGCATTTTACCATAAAAAGGCCCAGTGGATACAAAACATACTATAAAGTGTTATGTAATAATGGTGGCCCAAAGATAAGGTATAATTCTCAGGTTTCAAAGGAGCAAGACACATACAAGAAACAAAATAAAACCAGGTATGTCTTATCTACTTATGATGAGTGATGGTGGTGGAGTGCAGGGGACTATAGGCCAATGTCTAAGGTCACAACGTTTATGTCTTAAGAAGCATAGTTCAAATTAAATGGGTTTATATCCACACATGAAAAATCCACACCAAGAAAAAGGCACTCATGACAAAATTCTATTCTTTGAAATGATTCTATGTAGGGCAGACTTCTTACTTTCCAGCAGCTTGAATATATGTTTAAGTACTCTACATCCTAAACAGAACTTTTTCTTTAATCCCAATTCCCTACTGGTTAAAGCCACACCTTTGTTTTTATTTTCCTAAATGTGCAATCTTTTTAATTACCTCCAGTTTCCTACTTACTCTTTAATCTACCACAACCTGGGTCCTACCATGACCGTTCCACTAAAGTGGCTTGCGGGCCTAATTGCTTAGTCCAATGGCCACTTCTCAGAACCCCTTCCCTTTGACATCCACAGCTAGGGTATGTTGCCTAAGCTCTAACTTCTCAAAACCCTCTTCTCTCTTGGGTTCTATACCACTCTACCCCCCACCCCCCACCCAGGTTACTCTTAGGCCTCTGGCTACTGTCTGCTTTGCTGACCTCTTTTTCTTTTCTTTTCTTTTCTTTTTCTTTCTTTCTCTTTTTTTTTTTTTCACAAATAGTTTATTGTCAAGTT